CACTGGGAATAACAAATCATTGAGCGGATGCAGAGTCATATAGACCAGGGGAATCCCCCCATCTCCCCACCCTCTGAATATTACGTATCATAATGTAACTACGTGTAAGCATTTTTTTTGGCGGTTTTTGCTTGGAAAACCAGCTGTATTTTTCTAGCATTCAAATAACAATGGATAAACCTGAAAAGATAGGAGGATTGGAGATGAATTTCATTAACAAATAAGGTAGGAAATGTGCAAACTTTTAAATCGACAACTGCCACAGTGTGTTTTGTTATCTGTGATCCCTCTTTGAGTGTTTTAAAAGCTGATTGGGGTGGGGGGGGTCTTATGTCAGCATATCCGGTTAAAAAGTCACCGCGTGTCATTGTGTGTTTTTTTTTTTAATGTGTTTGTCAGTTGAATGTTTTAGCGTAAATATCTCTACTACAAAAACATCCTTCTTTTTGCTAGCTTTAATGGTGCAGCATGTAAAATGTGTCTTTAACAATAATAATTATTGTGTGCTTGCTTTGATTTGAGGTTCTCTCTTCACATGCATGTGACTCGGACACATATGATTTCCTTGTTGCCAAAGGAAATTTCCAGGTTCTTGTGGTGTGATTTGAAGTCATTTTCCTGAAGTGTTGTTCCAACGATTTGCACAGTAAGTATTTTTATATTATGCATCACCACTCATTACACTAATGTAAACAAGTTGCTCTGTAAGATCTGAATGCTCATATATGGCAATGCAACGTCTGTTAATTTGCGTCATTGTGTTTTTCTTCTGTTATGTGTTTTTCAGTTTAATGTTTCAGTGTAAATATTGTGGCATTGAAGTGATAAAGCAGTCAGAAATCCTTAAACACTACAAACTTAAGCATGGCAACTTTGGGCATGGTCATCGCTTAAAATGTATTCATCCTGGCTGCCCTTGTGTTTTCAAAACATGGAATTCACTTTTGACACATTTGTCCAGGAATCACACGAAAACCTCTCAGAAACCTGAGACTTCAATTTCATTTTCTTGTGATTTATGTTCTTTCTGTGAACTTGGGACTGAACATGACTACTTTCTTCACATTGGTCGTCATCTCAGAAACAATGAGACTGTCACATGCATGTTCAAAGGCTGTGAATATAAAGCCAATGTGTACGGTACTTTCAAGTCCCACAAAAGTCGCAAACATAAGATACACAATTTGGAAGATTTTAAAGATGGTGTAGTTCAAAAAACTTTAAATGAGTCTGTTGAACTTGGAAGTGCTGATGGATCTGATCCAGATAACGCACTGGACTCTGAGCCTGCATGTTCTTCTGACACTACATGCACAGATGCAGGTATTCCTGATAATCCGGCTCATGTAATACAGCACAAACTTGCTGCTGTATTACTAAAACTGGAAAATATTTTTCATGTTCCAAGTGCTGCAGTTAGTGAATTGCTGGAAGAGCTCCATTATTTGTTGAGCACTGCTTCCCTTTGTAATGCAATAAGTGTGATAGATGAAATACTGATTAGACATCACTTGCAGATTGACCAGTCAGTCACTGAAGAACTTGCATCTGCTGTCTGTGTCAACAATCCAGTTTGTGATGCAATTGGTAAAGGTAGTCCACTTGGCACATCATTTAAACGGCAGTCCTACTACAAACAGAATTTCAAAGTTATTGAACCAGTAGAGTACTTTTTGGATGACAAACGCAAAAGAACAATGCAGTATGTCCCGATCTTGAAGTTTTTGCAGCTGCTTTTGAGTAACAAGAACATTCTTGATACTTTAGATACTCCAACCATGTCAGAAGTCGGACAAGAAAAATATGCATCCTATCGTGATGGTATGCATTTCAAAAGCAATGACTTTTTGTCATGTAATGAGCTACGAATATTGCTGAATTTGTATGTGGATGATTTTGAAATCTGCAACCCACTCGGCACTTCTAGAAAAAAACATAAAATCTGTGCTGTGTATTGGAATCTTGGTAACTTGCCACCAGGTGAAGGTTCTTCACTATCTTCCATATGTTTGGCACTACTTTGCTGATCAGATGATGTTGAGATCTATGGATATGAAAAAATTCTTGAGCCCTTGCTGCAAGATCTTTCCACATTGGAAAGCCAGGGGATTTTCATTGCACAGCTTGGTTCTTTCATCAAAGGCACAGTGCAGACTGTCATAGCAGACAATCTGGGAGCACATGGAATTGCTGGCTTTGTGGAGAGTTTCTCTGGTGGATATGTGTGCCGGTTCTGTACTGCAAAAAAGTCTGAAATTCAGGAGAAAGAAGTGAGCTCAGATGGTTTCACTCTCAGAACTAAAGAGATGCATGAACTGCATGTCAGGTCAGCGGTAGAAACTGAAAAGTCTTGTTGTGGTGTAAAAAGACTGTGTTTTGTCTGCACGTCTTTCCCATTTCAATGTCAGTACTGGGTACCCACCTGATATTGCCCATGACATATTTGAAGGTATAATACCAGTAGAGCTAGCACACTGTCTGCGTTTGTTAATTTCTAAACGTTTTTTTACTCTCGACAAACTCAATGAACTAATTGAGACATTTCCGTACAAATGGACAGACAAAACCAATCGGCCACATACTGTTCCACGTGCTTTCATGTCCAACGGAAGCGTTGGAGGCAATGCTCATGAAAATTGGAGCCTTTTACGATTTCTTCCATTCTTGGTTGGACATCTGGTACCTCCAGATGAATCAGCTTGGCAGGTCCTTATGGAGCTTAAGGATATTGTTGAGTTGGTTGTGGCACCAGTGCAAACAGCAGAATCAATTGCCTTCCTTGAAAGCAAAATTTGTGATCACAGGCGCAGGTTGCAGGAAGTTTTTACTGAACTGAAAATTTTGCCCAAACATCATTATGTGGAACATTATCCACTACTGATCAAGTTCTTTGGACCTTTAGTGGGGATGTGGACACTCAGATTCGAGGCAAAGCATCGATTTTTCAAGCAGGTCGCTCGTTACACACATTGCTTTAAAAACATACTATTGACTCTGGCAATGAAACATCAGTTCATGATGGCTTATCACTTGGAGTATGCTACCACTGAAAAGAGTGGCATGAGTGTGTCAGACGTCTCAACTGTACCTGTGGGTATCTTGAATCAGGATGTAGTTAATAGTCTTAAGCAAACATATCCTGATGTCACTTACATTCATCTTGCAAAGAATGTGTCTGTTGATGCAGTAAACTACAGGAATGGCATGATTGTTGTTCGTGGCCTTTCTGGTAGCTTGCCAGTTTTTGCAGAGATCATCCAGATGGTTGTAGTGGAAAGACATTTGAGTTTCATTGTGAAAGAAATGAGTGCTTGGTATTGGGAGCATTTCAGAGCTTTCGAATTGTGCCCCACATTGCAAGTTTCTCTCATTCATCACAATGCCCTTGCTGACTACTACCCATTGGCAGATTACCATCTTGGAGGCAGACGAATGGTGACACTTAAAAGATTCATAAACACAAGAGGTTAGGTTCAGTTTGTTTTAATAAACTATTTAAAGGGTTAGTTCACCCAACAATGTAAATTCAGTAATTAATTACTCACTCTCATGTTGTTCCAAGGTCCGTAAGAACTTTATTCATCTTCAGACCACAAATTAAGATATTTTTTATGAAATCTGAGAGCTCTCTGACCCTGTATGGACAGCAACGCAACCGAAATGTTCCCAGGTCCAGAAACGTAGCAAGAACATCTGTGAAATTTTGGGTGAACTAACCCTTTGGGCTCCAGACAAAAAAATTGAGTAAGGAGCCATTGGCTCCTATAAGAAACAAACTTAGGCACCAAATTATCTTTTTAGGTGCCACAGAATAAACAGGTTTTATTTAAATTTCTTTATATATATTTTTTTATATTTTATATATTTGTTACATGTAACATTTCAATCATACTGTCATGTGTTTGTCTCATTTTTTGAATTTATCAGCATTTTATTTAATCTTGTAGATGTCCTGGGAACTAGGCCTGTCGCGATAATTAAATAAACGCGATTATTTGATCTAACCGCAGTTGTCTTATTGTGCTTTTTATACGAGACAAGGGAGAGTCATACACCAAAAGAAACAGAAGAGCACCAGTTTGCTTTTCATGCACTGTATAGCCTATACAGGGCTCCAGACTCATTCTTCCCACTGGTTGCTCTTTTGCAACTAACTTTCTCAGCTGGTCGCACGAGCACATGATTTGGTCGCAATATTATTAATTTTTTTTGCACTACAACATGGGATTATTCAATGCATGCTGATGAACTTTTATCATAGTTTATAGTTATATGGAAACGAAAGTGGTTAACATTTAACCCGTTCTTTATCATCAGTAGTATTATTTGTGATTTGAATTTTGTGAACGGGAGTTTCTCTTTTGCTGTGTTAAGCCGCGGGCTTCGGATGCTTTCACTTTCGAATTTGCGATCTTGTTGTCACTGTTTTGCTTAAATACATCTACACACCTTTCATTGTTTTAATACTAAAACAAAAAATGGATTCATTGTTATTCTTAATTAAAAAGCACAACAACAATAAATCAGTAAGATACAATGACAAACTAGCTTACAAAACGTTTAACAAAAACGAATAAGATGAGGCATGGCACACACCACATGCTGTATTATATACAGACTGATAAATTACAGAACGTTTAGCAAACACTGAGGAATCAAATTAATAAATAAAAGAGAGCCTCCATAGTGTAATGTGAGGTAAACAGCAAAGATACGTTTTTCAAAAATGAAAACAAAAAGTAAAACTAACGGTGACCGTGCTTGCATGTTTTTTTTTCCCCACAAGAATACCAGCATGTTCACCTTCTGAAATTGCAGCGCTTATGAGTTGACCAACGCGTTGGTCGCGCCAGTGCGACCACACACAAAATTGTCGCACAGGTCGCAGTCTGGAGCCCTGCTATATCATCTGAAGCCATTCCATATCTTAATGTGAGGGACAGAATTTAGGTTTACAGATGATATATTCCCATTATAATACTTTAAGTTTAAGGAAGGAATTATCACAAACAGAAAGATTATTAGAAGGCTTTTTTCCCCTCATGATTCCTATCTTATATTCATGAATGTATTTTGTAAGAATACAAATAGTTAACAGAATAAACATGTTTAAATTGTATAATTTGCACAAAATATTTTTTTTCAAGATATTGTTTTTGCTGCTAAATTATACAGTCAGCTAGTTTAATTTCATAGCTTATATATTTTTATTCAAATTTAGTTTTTTTCTGTAATGAGGAAGTGAGTATTTAGTGGATTGCGTTTAACAAAGGGTTTAAAAGAGTGACCATTAGTTCCACAAACACAGTATTGATATTCTGTAGGGGTGTAGAACAGTTGTACACAGTTGTAATTGTTTTTTGGTTGCAAAATGGGACCGTTTTAGTTGCAGTCTGGAGCCCTGCTTTATGGACACAAAAAGTGCAAAATTTGTGCATGACCTTTTTTTTTCCTTCTTCTGAATGCAGAAATTTGAAATCTGCATTATCAAAAATATCATTATCAGTCAACTAATCGGAGTTCTCTGTCTCTTAATTAGATTAAATATGAGTGTGAAGCTCAGAGTCATTGTGGACGACAATGATTTCAGAAGACTGGACCTCTCAGCTGGGATACCAGACAGTGTTGTGAATTTACATGATACTGTTCGTCAAGCATTTGGTATTGAAAGACACTTCCGGCTTCAGTACATGGATGCGGACTTCAATGAATTCATGAATCTGTCATCAATTCATGACATTAAAGACAAGACTACTATCAAGTTGATCTACTTGGCACATGACACTCATCCAAGCCCTGACCATCCAGCTGAGCAATCTTCAAGTGCTTCTGAATCGTTTAGCGCTTCAAGTGAATGCTCAATCCTTTCCTCTTCTTTGTTGCCATCTGGAGGAGATTCAGATGACACTGTGACTATCCCAACATCTGATGCAGAAATTCAATCACTACGAGTACAGATATGGCCACAAAAATTTCCGATTCCTCGTTTTCCGTATGATGTGGAAGTGCAGCTTCAACGTGGCAATGAAATTTTTGTTGAAACTGGAACCTCTCTGAAGATCAGTCCAGGGCTCAAGTCCGGAATCTTGGAAAAGTTGGCTGAGGATATTTTCCAGTATACTGCATACCCACGTGATTCCCAGATAGATGACGTTGCAAAGTCACTTGTTGAAAAGTTTCCATGTTTAAAAGAAAAAGGATCTGTTAAGGGGTATAGCGGGTGGATATTTAGCCTCAAGCACAAAATGGCAAATTATAGGACAAAGATGCGCAACATTGGTTGTCCCGAAGTCACTCTGAATTCACTGAAGAACAAGTCCAGAGATGAATACTGTCCAGCCAAAAATGTGAAGAAACCAAAGAGAGCAGAGGTTAACTTTTGCCCTGCTAATCCAACTGGAGAAACCGATGAAAGCCTTGAAAAACTTAGATGTGAGCTACTGGTTGATTTTGGACAAAGGAAGAGAACATCAGCGGTAAAGGAAAAGATGTCCAAAACATTTGCCTACAGGAGGAGGAATGTCGTACAGAACAGTCCAACGATTCAGGACTTAAAACTCCAGTGGCCTGCACTCTTTCAGACTGAAGAGGTAAGGTCATATTTACTCTCTTGTCATTTAATCTTCATTTGTGCTACAGTTGTTGATCTCCTCATCAAGTATTCATACTCAACCCAAAAATGAAAATTATTTCATTTACTTACTCATGTCTTCCCATAGGTAAATTAATTTCTTACTTTAGATGAACACAAAGATTTTAAAGAAATAATTGATCCCTGTGAGTCCATAGAATGCAAGTGGATGGGACCTCCAAGTTTGACACTCAAAAACCACACAAAAAAAAACACAATGGTAATTTCCAGTTAATAAATCAATGTCTTCTGAAGCTAAATCAACTAGGGCTCTATATATGTCCATCATGTTTGTTTTGTGTGGTTTTTGAAGCAACAATTTCAAGTGAAGAAAGTCTTGCGCATCTGGGAAGACACAAGTTTGAGTAAATAAGAGAGCGGAGACTGTGTACAGTGGAGACTGTAACATGGCAGCATCCAAATGAAAGTTAAAGGGGTCATATGATGCTACATGCACTTTTAAAAGTAGTTTGAACTGAAATGTGTTGGCAGTGTGTACACAACCACCCTAAAATGATAAAAATCC